CGGGCTTTGGGGGAAGAGGAAGAAAAGTCGGATTACAAGATCAACCACCACCAACAACAATAAAAACCACCGGGATATTTTTTTGCAAATTTCTGACGGCTTTAAATTCATGAAGCAATTGTCCCCTTTTGCAATCAGCATTTGGATCTCAGAATGAGCAAGGAAAGACCCAAGAGGAATATCATTCAGAAGAAATACGTAAGTGCTCCTAACAACACATCCTTTGACTTGTAGTTTTAAGCAATGGCTTTGAATGTCAAGTTTATAGATAATTCTGCAGCTGAAGGGTTTTAAACACAGCGTCCGATAAGGCTGTTTCTTTCTTTTCAGAAAGAAGGCTTTTCAGGCAAAGTCGTGTCTGCCTAGTTGGGATGAAAAAACAGATTGGTGTAGCGATACCTCCGGTGAATAAATTGACCTCGAATGACACAACCATAATCTAGTTTTAGATGAAAGGCAAGGGATTTTGGTGGAGCATAGGGGGGTAGGGGCTGCGGTAATGTAACTAAACTGCATTCTCGGGCGGATTTGGCCTCATATTGCACTTTGCATGCAAATGAGCCTGTGTTATTATTATTATTAATGTTATTTGGGAAATCGTGTAACGCGTGTGTGTTGGAAGACCTTTAAGTTGCAATCGAGGGTCCGATTATGGCGATCTTGTTCCTTGCACTGGCACATCAGATTTAATGTATGTGGTCGTTTTGGCTTATTTGGTTCGCAACATAAACCAGTTGGGAATCGTGTTACAGCGAATGCATTTGTTGGGATTGACTTTAATAATGGGACTGGTTTTGTTTAAAAATCCATGGTTTCCAGTTTTAGGGAGAAAAAGACATACAATATAGCTAATGTTTTTAAGTAGGCATGTGAATGCATATGTAAGTGACTACAAATAATTTCTCCCAGTTAACTGGGCTTCTGAAATTGGGTGATTATTCAGAGATCTAAATGGTTTGGAATAGTTAAATTTTGTTTTGTGCATAGTACAGCTACGTTTTGATTGGCATGGGGAGTGTTTTTGTTTTGTGTGTGGTGGCTTTTTTTTTAAGTTTGGGGGGAGGGAGGGGAGTGGGGACCGAGGATTAACCAAATATGCACTCGAGTGGTCGGTGATTAGCTGCATGCTTTAAATCAAAGAACTCATTTTAAAAAAGGCCAAATGAACATAGATTAGGAATAATGCAACGTTATGAGAAAGTTTCATTTGACTCGAGACGACAAATTGGTGTTAATATTTTCCTTTTTGGAGCAATACGATGTGTGTAATGACCTTCGGGGCACAGGTTTTGTAAAAAATACATTTAATGGAAAACCTGAATGCCTCTTTTAAAGGGCTGATTCTAATGTAGACACGTAAACTTCAACTATGAAAGAAATGCAAGGTTAAATAATCAAGCTCAACTTAAAAAGCTGTTCCCTAAAGAATTTAAGAATTAAAATACATCCGCATTGCAGAGGGCTGGGGAGAATGCAAAGGACTACTTTAAACTCGGGCTGTGGAAACTGCTCGGAGACAACCTTGCTTGGGAGCGTGGACGCCTTCCCGGGGCACCTCCGATCCGGGTGCAGCCACAAAGCAAATGGGGTAGAACTTGGACCAGAGCCACCCCCGCCCCCGTCCCTGACCCCATCCCAGTCCTCGCTAAGTTGGAGAGCAGCATGAGGTGGGATTTTTTTGTTGCTGGTGGTCAGCGGATTGTGTCGAGTTGCTGGCGGCGGCCGCGGGAGGCAGAGCAGGA